TAGTATGTAAGAAAGCTAGACTTGCTACTTCTACTTTGACAGTAACAAGTCACTGGCCTGACTATATAACGGCAATGATGTGGAAATAATTCCTACAGCATTTCCCTTCAAAATAAAATAATTTTATTTTTATTACATTATTTGGTGTGTGCCATGTCCAGGACCTCCTCTTTTTTCGTTTTTGTTTTTTCTGAAAGAAAAGTCTCATGAATGATGTGTAGGTATGGGGCTTCTGTACAGTCAACAAACCTTAGGCCTCTGTCAATTCTTAACCTGGAACAATAGCCCCTCACATATTTTCTATCTTCATCCCCCATGCTGTTCTTAGCAGTTAAGTCGTTACTGAGTATTTACATACGCTAATTAAATTGGGAGGATCTTATCAAGTTCTTTATAAAGTTTCTCTACCTCTTTATCCTCATCCTCTTCAACAAATGCTGGCACATAAACTCCCATAGCAATCTCCTGTCAAATGCTTATCACAAGCACTGCAATATGCAATGAACAACTGTCCCATGAAATTATGTTTCTCATGCCCTTGATCACAATAAAACCAACTCAATTAATTCTTTTATGCGCTTCTCCTAAAGGAAACTAAAAGCCATCCCTCTCATAAGTTGCAGTTTTGGTTTTTTTTGTCTTCCCGTAACAGTAAGATGTCAGGATTCCTGTTATTCAGTTCCTACAATAATATGATAGTTTGCTGGTCACTGGACAAGAGTCTCACATTTAGAGTACCAGTAACTAAATTAATCTTTATAGATAGTCTGTCCCTGCTACCCTTCTTCAAGGGCTAAATCTTATGCCAATTCCTCCATGAAGTTTTTCTACACCCCTACCAGATTTCTCTCTCTGTTTTAAACTTTCTCTTTTGTTTCACCCTGTATTTAAGGGGTTTGTGTATCTTATTTCCCTAGTAAACTGTGGTGAACTTGAGAGTCTTTATATAGTATTTCACTTTTGTTTTTCCTCCAGTCAACGTAATACCTTACATATGATGAACATGTATTAAAAGTATACTGAATTGAAAAGAAATATAGAAGCCACTTAATAATAATTCTTATATTGTAAAATCAGAGTTCCTACCTCAGATGACAAATATTACCCCACTTCAACAGTAAGAGTGGGCTCTTGTACATAGTAGAGGTAAAATAAATATTTACTGAATTTAGCTGAATAGTTTTATATAATTTCAGAACTATATAAGGAATTTCAATGATTCATCTATAGTTATAATTATGGCTCTTTATACAAAAATATAGACATAAGGAATTAAAGTTTTAATAACTGACAGCATAACATGAATGTTAAAGATTGTTGTTCTAGTCTGCTTACATTATAACTGAACTAAGGCAAGTAATTATGACAGATACACTGTGATTAGTTTTTGGTTTTGTTTTTTTAAATGGCAGGTAAGTTTTAAATCCCTATCAAGTCAGGCCGAAAAAAAAAGTTAAGATAACTTATATTAATCCCAATATTACATTTGTTTGAAAAAATTATATAATGGAAATAACATTGATTTTGGAGTAAAAACAATCCCAGTTCTACAACTTTTTGCCTGTGTGAATATGGACAACTCACTTAAACTGTATGCTTCAGTTCCTTCTTCTACATAATGAGAGAGTCAGACAAGATCATCTCTTTGGTATCCTTCCTAAATCTATTATGACTATGCAGAAAATCTATGCAGAAATCTGTGAAGACACAGAAGGTCCAGAACAGGCTTACTCAAGGTCACACAGCATGATAGTCGCAAAAAAAAAATAACCCTACTCATGCTAGTGTTCTTTCTGTTATACCATACTGTAGCAGCAGCAAGGCTCTGGTAGTCAAGGTATTTTTATAGCACTTGGACAAGATTTTTTTTCTCCTCCCTCCTAAAAAAATAATTACCACTCCCTAATGAGCAATAGCACAAAGTAAACATCACAGATCATGAAGAAAATGGAGTAGAACAGTAGGCTGGGTCCCCAGAATGTAGAAGGCAAAGATTTAAGAAAAGGAAGAAAATGCCCAGTGATGGAAATATAGAAGAATATCCTGAACAGTCCTTTTAGAGCACATGTTTATACAGAGAGATATCTCTCCATTCAGATACCATACACTCATTTAAGGAATGAACTGAGTATGCAATACCATTTTAACAATTGCCCAGTGAGGAAAATGTTGATAGATATCAGAGATAATATAGAGGCTGGAGATCTCAGAAATCAGGTCTCTCCTTCCCATAGCCAGAAGGGCACAGTTCCATAATACAAATAAAGAACTGAACCATTCTATAAATATGAACAGATTTTGCAGTAATCCAGAATCTATCTAACTTATAAATTACCAAATCAAGTCATTTGTATATCTAATTTATTTTTCTGCCTATTCAGTTACCAAAGATTAGGACTTTAATCAGCGAAAGAGAGGGATACAGGGATCGGACCCGTGATTTCACTGATACCAGAAATTCCCAATATGGAAAATCCCTCTACTAATGCCAACTGACATTTTTTTTTGCCACTTCCAATTTTAATGAGTTGCTTGAAACATGGAAGTAAATTGCCCAGGTTAATACAGCTGGTATGTTTCAAACATGGTATTTGAACCCAGGTTTTTCTGTTATCTCATAAATACATAAAAGGTAAATTAAAACTAGATTCAATCAATTTTGTCATTTGTTAGAGCATAAATTAAAGGTTTATACTTAGAGACAACTAGTTGAGGTCTTAGAATTATTGGTGGATTTCAATTATTCAAATATTAGTTTTCCATTTCAGTATAATACATAATTTAAAAGTAAACAAACATTTATGTACCTAAAACATACATGATGAAATTGTAGACCTACAGATTAAGTAGTTTCTCCATGTTTAATAGGTAAATTTTTTCTTATTTGTATAGTCACAGTTACAAAATTAGAGACAACATGACTTAGGGAACAAATGTTTCTGGGGTGACAGGGTCTACTTTCTTTAAAATCCAAATTAAACTCTGGATTTAATGCTATAATTTCAATACAACAAGGAAAATATAAATTTAGCTTAGTTTTCTTTCATTCAGAATAACTCTATCATATAAATATGAACTTTTTAAGAAAAGCAGCATGTTGTAGAGAAAAGAACATGAGACCTGAAGTGTAGAGATAAAGATTAGATCCCAGCTCTACTACTTTGTATGTGACTTAATTTTTCTGAGACTTAGTTTTCTTATCTATAAAATGGTAAACCTAACTTTACAGATTTGCTGGGGAGAAAGTGCTTTGTAAACTTTAAAGAAAAGAAATGTGAGGTGTGATCTATATCCAATAGAATGTAAGCTGCTTAAGGACAAGGGCTTTTACTTTTGACTTTGTATCCCTGGTGCCTTATACATCGTAGTGTTTAGTAAACATTGATTGTCTGATGGAAGAATAGAGAGAGTTTCCACACAAGACATCCTTTATATTTATTAAATCACAAACATGAACCAGAAATAAAATGAAGTAAAATCTACAAGCAAAAATTAACCATTGTATTTTACATAAAAAATAATGCTTTGACATGACTTTCTACATCTTCACATAGCAAAAAAAAAAAATTTGAAATCTAGATGCATAAACTTATTTCTTTGGTTTAAATTTTTAAAGACCCACTTCCCTCTGTGGCTCCTTCATCTTATGCATATGCATGCTTCTTTTAGTTCCCTGATGGTATAGTGGAAATAGTACTTGGTATCAAAGAACCTAGGTGTGAGTCTTCCTCTGCTACCAGTGTGATTTTAAGCAAGTTAATCTTTCTAGGCTTCACTTCCTTAATAAGTAAAATAAAGAGATGGACTAGAACTCACAGAAAGTTCTTTGCAGATAAAAATCTGTAATTTTTTATCTCTTGATCTCTGAGAAGAAAAATTATGCTCTGAAAACCTCAACCTTTTCTCGATTCTAGTTTCATAAAATTGGCATCTTTTAATATGGTGCCACTATAGATGTGCATTTAATTTTGTAAGTTGTTTACAGTAACAGAGTATTTTTCTCCATGAGAAAATGTCCTCATGAGACATATGCCTTGTTTTTGTTAGGTTCCCAAAAGGAAGGCAATCATACATCACTGTATTAATTATGTGTTACTAGACTATAAATAATTCAATACACAATTACAAATTCTAAAACTAATGAAACAAAAATGTAACTCCCAAACAACTGTTTTAAGACAACGATTCATTAAAATGAAAATTTGGAAGTTCTACCACAAAGAATACAACCAAAGATATCTATTTATAATAAAGACCTTATTTGTAATTTCCAGCTCCAGTCTCTCCTTTTTCCAACTCCTAATCTGTAATACCATCCAGAGCAAAAATGCTCTGTAAAGATTAAATGAACATATATGCTATAGATATAAAACTATCATACACTTTTATTGTTTAATGAAAAGAGTAAAGTTTAAATTAACACAGAGAGGGTGGAGTTAATATACAAGTATCCTTCAATTAATAGAAATTTACTAATAAAAGGAATTGGATAACAAAATCATAAATTCATTTCAAAGAAAAACAATTTAAAATTGGAGAATCTAGAGGGAATTCCATTTCAGTAAGTTCAAATAATAAAAAAATACAAAGGGAAAAGAAAACTTTGATATAAAATTATAAGACAGTGCCTGATACTGAACAGTATTTTCAGAGTATTTTTGTTATAACATTTTAATATATTAATACTCTCAATGTTCATATTAATCATCACAGTATCTAAAAGTTACTATTTTCCTTAGGAATATATTTTTTAACAGTTTTGCTACATGCATTGGTGTGGTTCTAGTAATTCTGGAAGCTCAAATTATTCTGAGAAAATACATCTCTGATTTCATAACAGAAATCAATAGAAAAATACATTCACTTAATTAAAATTTACTTCCCAAGAAACTTTTCTGAAATGCATCTCATTCATTAAAAGAAGGAAACCTTTGCAGAAATCAGACTCTTAACTATCTAAGGAATGATTCATCATCTCTGGTCTATTTTCAGAAGCTCACCTTCCCTTTTCGGTTTAAAGGTTCAATTGTTAAGCTGTCTGGACCAATATCGACAATATTGCCCATCTGAAATCCTTCCGTGGGATGCGGAGCCCAAACGGGCTTTCCATCTTCCATTTTTTTGAGGATCTATCCACACTTTCCTGTCAAAAAAAAAGGTACAATTTTAAAAATGTTTTTATAAATAAGACATTATACACCACTGAGAGGGAAACAAATTCTTCAGAGATGTCTGCAGGTGATTTCCAAAGACATAATAAAAATGGGAAGTGTGCTTCAATTTTTAACTCTAGTTCTAGTTACATCAGCTTGGTAAGTTACTTAATGTAATGGAAGCCTCAGTTTCCTCATGTGTAAAGTAGAGATAATAACTGCAGTATCTACTTTCCAAAGTTGTTTTAAGTAAACTCTGTAAACTCCAAAGTACTACATCAATGTTATTATTCAACCCCTGACTTTAACACAGCCTCTCATTTCTCTAGAGTTTTATCACCTGTTATTATTGTGGCACAATCTGCCCATCTTTGCCCTCATCCCTCCATCTATGAGAAGATACACACCACACAGAGTGGTAGCAATGTTCTTCTCCTAAGTGAAAGATGTATCTCAATCTTAAACCTCCAAGGGAGGATAAAACAAAGAAAAAACTACTGATTAGAGCAGGTAACTCTAGTTTCTGCCTACTTCCAAACCATTCAGCCTGCATTCTGGCCATCTTCTTCCTCCTATTCCAAGAACCTAGACTGTGCCTCTGGGACCCTGAGCCCTAGTGAGCTTTCGCTTATCTTGATCATAACAAGGCTTCTACCCCACTTCCTGGCCCTTTCCAAACCATGCCACCTTGACTCTCCCAGCTGTCCTTTATGTATTATCTTCATCCAGTGGAATGTGAGCTCTTTGATGACAGGGATTATTTTGCTTGATTATATTTGTATACCCAGTGCTTAGAACAGTGCTAAGCATATAATAAGTGCTTAATAAATTTTTTTCATTCACTCTTTCAGTCCAAGTAGAGCAACAGACAAAGTAAAATTGATAAAGATAAAACAGTAACATTTCCAGAACAAAAAACATCAACATAAGACAAACTGCCAAGAAAAACTAAATATATTTAAACAAAATAATTGTTACATAAAGCTATCCTTACTAATATGTGTAGTTTCCAACTTAATAATGAGTTAGAGGATTACAAATCTAGAGGTATAAGGGACCTCAGAGACCAATATTCAATCAACTAGAAGTAAAGGAGAAAGAACACTGGCTCTGAAGTCAGAAGACCTGGGTTTAAATTCTAGTTGTGGCAGTTATAACCTATCAAACCTTCAACAAGTCACTTCAGCTCCCTGGGTTTCAGTTTTCTCATCTATAAAATGAAGGCGTCAGATTAAATAGTCTCTACCGTTCCCTCCAGCTCTATAGCAATTATCCTAATTTGTATGAAGTAACTGTGTGCTCAGCAGTGGAGACAACCCCCCAAAAAAAATTTTTTTAAATTCCCACCTGCCAGAAGCTTACATTCTAAAGGGGGAGGAAACAAGTACATATAAACATACATAGATACATGCACACAAGCATACGCTGATACACATACACAACACAATCATATACATGCATATCCAAATCCACATATGCATACACATACATATATACATACACATGCATATATATGTATATTCACAGAAGCATATAAAAATATTCATGCATAAACATTCCCACACAGAGAGAAAGAGAAAGAGAGGGACTAGACTTGGAATTTTACTGATACAAAGAACTCCCAGATGAGGAAACTGCTTCTACCAGTGCAAGTCAGCCCTTTCTCTGCAATTATCAGTCTGTTTATCTAATTATATATAATATAGAATAACTATAAAGAGAATAGATACAAAGTATTTAACTCCATGGCAGTGTATGAGGAGGAGCACTAAGGAGCAGCTGGGAAGCACAGAGATCAGAATGGGTTTCATATTGAAGATGCTGCTTGAGCTGTTTCTTGAAAACAGAGGTAGAGGAAGGAATACTTTCTAGATGCGAGGTATGGCCAGTGCAAAGGCATAGGGAAAAGAGATGACATAAGGCCAATTTTGCTCCACAGAGAGCAAAAGATAAAGTATTGTCCAATGACATTAGAAAGATAGAATGGAGTAAGTTTGTAAAGGATAAAAGGAATCTATTTTTTATCCTAGATGCAAAAGGGTGTCAAGGGGGTTTATTAAATAGTGGAGAGACATGGTCATGTCTATATTTAAGAAAAACCATTTTTGCTGCAGTGTGGAGGATGGATTGCAGTGCGGAGAGACTTGAGGCAGGATGAATAATCAGGAGGCAAGGGAGAGACACAGGATGCTGTGAGCAGGCTGCAACACACAGCAGGCTGTGTCACAAAATCCCAGTAAAGAAAGGGTATCTGTGAGAAAAAAGGAAACAGTGTTAAATGTAGCAGATAGGTTGAGAAAGATGAGGGCTGAAAAAAAATCCACCAGATTTGGCAATTTGTGATCACCTGCATTTTGGAGGGAACAATTAAGAGATTATTGGAAACTTTGGAAAGAGCATTTTCAGTTGAATGATCCTATCAGAAGGCAAACCATAGAGAATTTAGACAAGAATGAGAAAAAAAGGAGACACTTATCACAGTCAGTTTTCTAAGGAGTTTAGCCACAAAAGGGAGAACTATAGGGCAATAGCTAGCAGGGATGGATGGATCAAGTAAAGCTTTGTTTTTTTTTTAAGAATTGGGTAGTCCTATCCTGCACCCTAAATCTAACACTTCCCTGTCAACAGATAGAAAGTATGCTTCATCAGCAATCCTTCAAAATCATGGGTGGTGGTTACATTAATTATAGTTTTTGTAGCTTTCAAAGTTGTTTGTCTTTACTTGCTGAACAACACTAAATAAGTGAACAAATTGTTGAATAAGCGTACATATTAGATGTAGCACTGCTCATTTCACTCTTCGAGCTCAAAACTATTCATTTTTATAATATTAATGTTACAGTATAAATTTCACTCTACCTTGGTTCTTATAAGGCTCTCCATGTCTGTCTTTACTATATTTGTTTTCAATAGGGGTTTTGTTTTTCTTGCTTTCTCAGGGTGGGAGGGGGTGGAAGAAGACCTTCAGCAAAATAAAGGAGAAAATCAAAGTATTGTAGTATCATGTAGGGTACACAGTTACTTCTTGAATTAGCAGTCTACAATCGCCTGTATTTCTCTATTACCTACCACTCTTTCTAATCTTACTTCTTTTCCTCCTGTATTGCTGAAACTACCAATGATATCCAAACTCAAATTTAATGACTTGTTTCTCAATCATTAAATCTCTCTTACCTCTCTCTATAGCACATAACTGTGGACCTTCCCCTTTCTTGAAATTTTCTCTTCCTTTAGCTTATGAAACAACGTACAGTTATCCCTTCCACGTTGCTGGGGTTAGGGGTACAGCACCTCCTTGAACTCTGAAAAATTCTTTTGGTCCTCTCTTCATACCAAATAAGTCTGATTTTTTTTCTTTTTCTTTTTCTTTTATGGGGTGTTTACAGTACCTTACTGTAAAAGCTGAGTTAAGTATTTGACCATAGATTTTGTGTCATCTGCTGACCTTCTCATGTCATCTGTAGGGCTTCCACAAAACTCCCCAAAAAATTCCCATTTAATTTCTTATGCCTACCCACAACATACTGAAATTGTGAAGGGGGAAGTCGTGAAGTGGAAGGAATAACTCTGCTCTCCTGGTTCTCTTTCAACTTTCCTTTTTCTGATCCGCCTCTGGTTGTATTTCCTTCTCCTACCCCCTAAACATAGTCAATTCTCCAAGAAATCTCTCCTCAGAATCCTTCCTACTCTCCCAAATCAGCTCTTCTCCCTGACTTGACCTGCTAATGGAACCATCAAGCTTCTAGTCAATCATATTTCACCAGCTGTTAAAACCTAGATTATCCATCCCTACTGTCTCTTACCATTAGTCTTGCTCCCTACTTTCCATTTCCAGGGAAATTTAAATCTCTTTTCTCTTCCCTGGACTGGCGGTTTTGAAAGTTTTATTAATATCTTTTGCTTTTATATGGCCATGATTTACAAATAAATTCCTCCTTCCTCTTCTCTTCTGAGAGCCCTCCCTTTTAAGAAAGAATTCAAAGGAAAAACGTAGTTCAGCAAAACTACCCCAACTCTGACAGTGTAGCATATCCCCAAAGTCTTAATGCATTAAGACTTTGGGGAGACTCTGTGTAGTACTCTACATCTTAAGTCCCCTACTTCTGTAACAGAGGTACATTTTCTTCTCTCATCTTTCATGTTAAGTTTAATCATTATAACTGCAGAGTATTTTGGTTTGGGTCTTTTTTGTTGTTTGCCCTTTAAAAATTGAAGGATAAAAAAAAAAAGAAAATTGAAGGATAGATGAGATTTCACCAAGTAGAAACAGAATGGAGGTTAGTCATTACAGATACTGTGTTCCTAATTCTGCTTATATCCCTTTGCATCAGTCCATATAAATCTTTCCATGTGTTTGTGCTTGTCTGTGTAATCTTGATATTTATTGTTTATTACGTTTGCATACCACAATTTGTTTAGCCATTTCCCAGGGAAGGATCATCTACTCTGTTTCCAATTCTTTACTATAAAAAGTTTCCTGACTAAACTATAATAATGGCTTCCTAATCAGTCTCCACATACCCTAATCCATATTGCATACCATGACTAGATTCAATTTATTAGCAATAAATCACACAAATGAGCATTTGTTAATCTACTATGCACCAGCAGCAGGGATACAAAGATAAAAAAGAAACACTCTTTGCCCTCAAGGAGCTTATATTCTAAGTACTGCACAACTATGAGCAAATCATTCCACTGTTAAAAATTTATCACATTATCTACCAAATAAAGGCCAAACACTTTATTTTTTTCAAATATTTTATTTTCCAAATACATATAAAAATTTTAACTTTTTTTTTAACTTTAGCTCTAAATTCTCTCCCTCTCTCCCCTCCCCCCTCATTGAGAAGGCAAGCAATTTGATATAGGTTATACACATGCAGAGCACACAGAACACATTTCCACATTAGTTACCCTAGAAGTGCTACTGCTGGATCAAAGGGTATGCGCATTTTGATAGCTCTTTGGGCACAGTTCCAAATTGCTC